CTGTCCGAGCTGTCATCTTCAACAAACTGGTAACAATTTGAAGTATTTACAGACCTCCTCACCATCAACTGAACAAACACGAATTTCAGTTGCTAATCGATCAACCTCCAGAACCGTATCTCATCCTAGGGGATATTTTTAATGCTCATAGTAGCCTATGGGGTGACTCTCGCTGCGATGCGGGAGGTCGCCTTATTGAACAGTTTCTTTTCTCTTATGGTGCGCGTCTCCTCAATCGAAAAGATCCAACATACTATAGCCTGGCTAATAAATACCTACTCATCAATAGACCTCAGCATTATCTCTCCATCGCTTCTACCTATACTCACTTGGAAAATCATAAATAATCCTTACGGAAGTGACCATTTTCCTGTAATTTTGAGTAGACTAACATCATCGTGCGTGTCTCCTCAATCGAAAAGATCCAACATACTATAGCCTGGCTAATAAATACCTACTCATCAATAGACCTCAGCATTATCTCTCCATCGCTTCTACCTATACTCACATGGAAAATCATAAATAATCCTTACGGAAGTGACCATTTTTCTGTAATTTTGAGTAGACTAACATCATCTGAGTGTCCTGCACATGTTCCCAAATGGCTCATAGAAAAAACCGATTGGGACTAGTTTTATAAGATTGCTAGCTTAAGTTGGACTGACATATGTGGTGCTAGCATAGATGCATCTTTAGAGTACTTTACTGCTTTTCTTTTTGAAGCTGCAGCTAAGTGCGTTCTGCAAACATCTGGACTACCCAGAAAATGGCGCATCGCCTAATGAAACAGTGAGTGTTTCAATGCTCGCAAAACACAAAAGAAAGCATGGTGGCATCTTCGAGACTCACCGACCACGAAGAACCTTGTCAATTTTAAAAACATCATTTCTCAAGGCAGGAGGACGCATCAACAGGCCAGAAGAGAGAGGTGGCAGAAGTTTCTATGTGGCATCAACTCATATACACATGAGGCAAGAGTCTGGAGCATGATCAGTAGGCTAGTAGGACGAAAAGCACATCCTCTTCCTCTGGTAAACACACAAGGCAACGGTTTGGAACTCCCTCGGTGCACACTTTGAATAGGTCTCCAACTCATCCCATTACAGTCCAGCGTTTGAACTTTACAAAGCAAGAATAAAAAAACTAGAAATTGAATGCAAATCCATAAACAATGATGCATACAATGAACCTTTCATCTTGGCATAGCTTCAAGCATCTCGAAACTGCTGTAACAAGACCGCCCCAGGCTCCTACCATATAGTATGTGAAATGCTGAAACATCTGCCCCCTGAAACCCAAAAAACCCTCCTTCCCTTGTATAATGCCTTTTAGTTTTCCGGTGAAATTCCTTCCACCTGGAAAGAAGCAATCATTATTTCGATTCTTAAACAGGGTAAGGACCCAGCTTCAGCATCAGGTTACATGCCCATAGCATTGACGAGTTGCCTGTGCAAGGTCTTAAAGAAAATGATAAACAGGCGACTGATGCATTCCTTTCAAACAAATAGCCTACTTGACCCATACCAGTGCAGGTTTCAAGAGGCTAAATCCACTACTGACCACCTTGTCCGTAGCGAGGCACAAATTTGTGGTGCTTTTATTCTTAAACAATTTTTTATTTCTGTGTTCCTCAACATGGAGAAGGCCTATGACACAACTTGGTGCTTCAGTATACTTCGAGACCTGTCACACCTAGGTGTGCAGAGCAGAATATTGGCAATAATTGAAAGCTACCTGTCCAATCAGACATTTCATGTTAGAGTAGGCACTGTGTTGACCTGTACATTCTTTCAAGAAACAGGAGTGCTTTCAAGAAACAGGAGTGCAGGAGTACATATAATAAAATGAATAGTCGCTCCATCTGCAAAGATGTTACATGTCCTTTACGTACTACCACAAGGTTAACGCAGACGAGGAACATCCCACTCATTCCATAATTAATAATGTGTCCAGTGCTACCTTGTTCAACAACTGTCCTTCACTGAGACAGCCCTACTCACTCCGTGTGAGGAGCCTCGTTGAGGAAGCAGGCGTGCCACTTCTAAAGACCCAGTTGATGGCTCCTTCAGCATATCCACCGCCGTGGCAGTGGCAGATTATTCACTGCGACGTATCTTTTGTGGAAGTTACTAAACATGCACCTACTGCACACACTTTCTCGAACTTCAACATAAATACACTTGTCCAGAATTCTTTAAGATGTGTCAGTCTCGTACTGCTGTATCCTATGGAGCTGTTGGCCCTTTTTTTTTTCAAAATTCGCAAACAAGCATCTTCACCGCAAAAGTCCATGCTATATCTCTAGCCGTCAAGCATATCAAGGAATTACAACCTGAACATGCCGTTGTATACACAGATTCGTTCAGCACTGTAACAGCTTTGAAAACTCTGAAAAAACATAAAAATCCTGTCCTTGTATCGCTTTACTCTTTCATGCACGATCTATGCCCTCAAATGCCAGGTTGTAGTGTACTGGGTGCCAGCACCGCGAGATCGCTGGAAACATAGTGGCAGACGCGCTGGCTGGCTCTACACATGACCATGCACCCACCAATACATCCCTGGCCATCCCTGCACTTGACATGAAACCTTTCCTACGACGGGAGCTCAGGGCGTGCTGGCAGTGCCTGTGGGATAGGCAAACAGATAACAAATTGCACGTTATCAAACCGAGACTTGAAAATTGACCAACATTATTTAGATCCCGCTACACACAAGTCACACTTACAAGGCTACAAATAGGACACTGACTCAAAACATTCATACCTTTTGTCTGGCGGCAATTGCCGCCATTGTGTGAGAAATGTGGTGAACCACTTACTCCACATCCTCGTACAGTGCAATGACACATCCTCGTACAGTGCAATCCTCATACAGTGCAATCCGATTTTTAAACTTCAATCACTGCTTATGTTTTTAAATGATGTACATAGTTTTCGCTACATATTTCAAGGTGATCCATTGCACAACCTCTGTTCCGAGGTCACGGCTGCGGTGACTACAACCCCACCCTGGTTTTATGATCATGACCTTTCGCCATCCACTTTCACTGCACATATTTCACGTCACTGTCATGATTTTAATACTTCCTTTTTTTTTTACCCACGTTAGCACGGGAAATTTTAAGGGCCTTATACAGCCATGCACCATGTCATTGTTCACGTCTCTAGTCTACTGAAATGGCGCTGTTTGGCCATAAATTGTTCCTTGCGCCACAAAATACCACACATCATCATCATCATCATCATCATCAGATGCAGTGGGACAAGAACCGGTGCTGAATATTGTATGAGTGCTTCCTGGAAGAGAAGCTCTTGAGTTTCACAAAGTACCACACATCATCATCATCATCAGATGAAGTGGGACAAGAACCGGTGCTGAATATTGTATGAGTGCTTCCTGGAAGAGAAGCTCTTGATTTTTGTTCCAAAACTTTGGAATGAACATGTTTGTCGAACACTTGAGTCTATAAGTGTCTTAGTTAGTTACTAATGCATGAGATTGCATTGTAGCACATGTTTTTGTTTGTGCCCATTGTATTGCATGTAGTGGAGTACCTTTTCAGTGGTACCGTACTCTATTTGATAACTGCCGAATGTAGACATTTGTGTGTTGTTTGTTCTGTGTTATCTAAGAACATATTTTTGGTTTTGTTATCAACTCTCGGCTCTGCTTCATTTTTTGTTTTTGGACCACAGCCAGCATTCCCTGGCATGCCAGAAGAACCAACGCTAAATTGTCTATGCTTTCGTGGTGCATTTAAAGGGGCTGATACGTCAGACTTTAAAATTAGCCCAGTGATTGCCTCCCTATTAATGGGACTAGTGACAGCGGTACACTGTAAGCTAAAATGAGATGCACACACTTTTGTTTTTCTTGCTAAAGTAACCTGGCTCAGTACACTTGCATCAAAGCATAGGTGACTTCTAACCTTGGTCTTGTGAATAATTTTGCGCCCCAGAGACTTTTAATTTGATTGATCAAAGCTATGGCGGAGCCAACCACGTTGAAATGTCAGTCTCGTATGTGCTCGACCACAATTGTATGTGCCCCGTACAATGGTATTTTTATGTGCAACTTCGTAAGCGCTGTTAAACCCACAGCTTCAACTATATTCATAAAACATTGCACCAGGATCAAATTAATGGGTAAACTCGACTTTCGTGCTTACAGATATAACTTCAGATTATCTTACCTTTGTATGCGCAACAATGAAGTCATCGTGACTTTTCGGTGAGGGGGTGGGGACAAAACCGGTAGTCAAGCATCCAAAGATTTCTTGGGTTAATTCAGTCATTTGTGCGTCATAGAACATTTATTATATGCACCAAGTAGTGTTTTATGTTTCAAAGTTCCAACTTCTGGACGATGTTAACTGAGGCTTCCTCTCTCGTCAGAGTGAGTAGGTCAACGCACACTGCAGAGGGCCACTTTGTCCGTGTATCACTGTTGAGCACTGGCGTGCAATTTCTCGGTGCACACGCTCAAGCGAGCCAATTACACATCGTTCATGGTAGCAGCAGCTTCATAAATGGTAAATTTTGTACCTCCTAAAGCCAAATAAAATTAAAACAAGAGAAAAGTGCCCACAGTTACTTGTAGGCAGCAAATGGGCATTGGTGGAATGAATACATCTGTCAGAACCGCCAGCCTTCAAAATGGTGGCCACGTGGTTCCCAGCACAGCTAGTGCGGCGCCTGCCAACCTGACTTCACGTGAATACAATTTTTGTCCGTAAGGTGACCACACCATAGAGGCATAATCGATGATGGGGCAAACAAGAGATTTTATGTAGCACAAGGTAAACATCTTTCTGGAAATTCTGCATTGTTTGACGTAGATATCTTAGTTTTTTTAAGGCTTTAGAACATATTAAGGCAATGTGAAGAAACTATGAAAGATCATGAGTAAATGTGACACAAAAATATTTGTACTGCACAACTCTGGTTAAAGAGGAACCATTAAAAGAGTATAAAGAGTAACCATCCAAACCATTGCAGGGTCGTGCAAAAGTAAACACCAAGCGACGCCCACCATCGCGACGGAAGTTGCAAGCAGATGCAAGATTTGACGGCCGCAGCCAAGATTCTTCAACCCATGGAGCGCTGTTTCCTTCATCACATGCCGATGTTGCTGTGGTAAGGTTATGTTAATGTTGATTAATGAATGTGATGCACATAAATGTCCAATGAGGCATGTGGTCAAATGAATGTCTACATTTGCCCAAAAAACTGGCCACAATAATGCACATGGACCCCTAGCTTGAAGCCCATGCAATCATTATATGCAGGAAACAGTTCTATAAGATAGGACAAGGCAAAAGAACATAAATCACCATTTTTTCGTTTCGTCTTATTGCACTGTTTTTTGCACATAATCATGAGTCAACCATGCTAAATGTGTAACCTTCTAAAGTCCTTATACTGTCAACTGCTGATTTTCTCTACATCAAATTTTTTTGGCAAGTTTAAAATTTAGACTCTTTTCCAACACTTCCTCAAGGTGCATGAAATCAATGTATATTTCTGAAATTTCAGACGCTTAAACTAGCGCTTTCGTGAGTCAATTGTGTCATGGCTGCAGAATATTCTGAAAGCTTTTTTCTGATGCTAAGGTGTTATGCGGTGAAGCATATTGAGATCCGAAAAAGCCACTGTCACTGCGGAAGTACAGTGATGGCTTTACAAATAAGCACCAGTCATAGAGTTCATATAGTGACTCGAGGGAAAGCTTCCCTCGAGTCACTATATGAACTCGAGGCACGAAAATCTTGTATGAAACCGCATGGGTTTTGCCGTGATGGAATGAAATTAACTTGAGATGCTCACTGTATCCCGAGACGCTCACTGTATTTAATGGTAGTAATCAGGCATAATGTGCCAACCTAAGCCATCTATGCACAGTTTGCGCTGTGTCAGAGAACATCTGCTATGGTTTTGTGCATGAAGCCGTGTGTTAGTGTAGTGTTGCCCATCCAGTAGGGCCGATTGATACAGTTGAAAATTCCCTACCGATAAACGAATGGAGTTCTTCCGTTTGCTGGGGCCACTTGAAGCTTCGAAGGATTGACGCGTAGACTGTGGGGACTCGAAATGATGAGACACCTGTATCCATTCTTTTTCAGCTCATTGCTGCCGTACAGAGAGCCATAAAACCAAAAAATGCTGAGTGCAGCTTGCAGTGGCAAATGTGAGTGAAATGTCAGCAGAAAGCTTCAATCAAAACTAAAGTTACATGGCACATTCGCAGGGGCATCTGCACAGGCAGGCATTTGGTGTGTGCATGGTGACACCGTGGGGGTGTTCTTCTCCCACCTAGCCATGTGTGGCATAGCCATGTCCGGGGAAAAGAGAATCCTGGGGGTTGGACACCAATGACGCGCCACAGGACACTTCGCTGACAAGTGTAACTCACAAGTCCACTGCACCCACTGGGTGATCATCCCGCATATTCCGGTCTTGCGTGGCCTGGAAGAGGGAAAAAGGAACCATCGTGACAAAAATTGAATTTGCAGTGATGCTACTGCTGCTCCAATTGCACCAAACTGCACCGAATTGCCCTGGCTGCTACAAGCAGCTACAGTCCGCGCCAAACCTGCGCTAAAGGCATTTCAGAAACGAAACTACTTGAGGTTGTTCCATTCAAAATGGCATCGCGGTGCACCTGCATGAGACAGAACCAGAGTCAAGCCAAGCCAAACTAGGCTGAATGTCACTGTTGGAACCATGGATGGTTGGGACGCAGTAAATGCTTGTTTTTTCAGACTTTCTAGGCACTGAAAAATCATCTGGAAAAAGATTCGCAATTTTTTATTCCACTCAATAATGAAATCACCTCAGCCCCATCTGAAATAGCTTCAGTGCCTTCTACACTTATCAGGCATTTCGGTGCACGCTCAGGCTGTCGTGAATACATTCAGGGCCTGCCGACGTCTATTTTCAAATATGTGTCGCGTGACGAGTGCCGCCAATACCAGCAAAACACAGGATAAGTTGCGGATTTTACCGCGTGGAGCGAGTGGAAATGGTGGCGCAGAACATAAAGGGTGTGGCAGAATAGAGGAATACTTGTCCGGACCTTCGCAATGCGTGTGTGCACTTAGAAGATGCGCCACTGTACAAAAATTTCTGGTGACACGTAGCATTTGCTGCCACATGAGACTGAAAAAAAAAAACAATCGTTTCTAGTTGTGTGCAGCACATAGCCTACACAGCTGACGCTGTTCCTACCGGGGCACTTTCGTATGCATGTGTTTGCCATAAAAAAGCGTTCTTGATACCCACTCTGTTCGTTATCACACACGGGTGCGGCGATCGCGAGCTGTTTTCATTCGTGAAGGCACCGCTTCTGTGCGGCTCACTTAGCCGTTTCGCACAAAAAGACAGCGAGAAGGGTGGCGTGCGTGAGTGATTAAAAGCGTGCAGAACGCCGAAAACTGCGCCACATGCAGTAACAAGCAGTTTTGCTGAAGATGCTTATCATGAAGTGATTTAAGTCTTACTGGCGTGTTTGCCGCATTGCCGCCATCACGCCTCCGAGCATTTCCGTTGCTTATCCGTTAGACACCACCTCACACCGCGATGATACCAGCCCCTTCGAATTGTTTTATCTGCTTCACCCTGTACCAGTAATCATTGCGGCAAAGCCAAGTTTTGGACATTACTGTTAAGTCAAACGGTTTTTGGAAACGCGAGGTTATAGAAGTATCAATGGTAGGGACTTTAAGTAATGCTGTTTCATACCTGGAATGTGGGCTAAAAGCCCCAAAAATTTCAGATGTTCTTATCCATAGACGTCGATAAAGCTTGTGATGCTGTCGTGAAAATAGTCCGAGTTTTCATGCATGTCTCAAAATTCTGGCTTCTGGAGAATCGGCAGCCAACTGATCTTCAGTCATGATATAATGAAGTGCTATGGTTTTAAATTTTATTATTGGCTTTGTCTATTAAGTATGGTCAGGTTATCTGTCGGTGACATAATTTTCTCTTCTTTTTTACTCTATTATTCTTGAATAGCATGCAGCACATTATAATTTTATTATTCATGTGTCATAAACACTGCATTAAAAATGGCAGGAAAGGCTGGATGGAACCTTGCGATGAAAAAAAATCCGTAAAGAGGGGTTGGTGTCGAGCCGACATTTTGACAAACGGACTTGTCTTTCTCAAGGCTAGAACAAAACAGTTCTGTTCTGAGGAAGACAAGACTGCTTGTCAGAACGTCGGCTCGACACAACCACAGTTTACAGATTTCTTCATGAATGCAATAGGTTTCTTAAAAATGACTCTAGCAACATATGCTCTGAAAGCCAGTTTTGCTGCTCCAAAATGCATTTTTGTCTGCTCCAAAAACTTCTCTAGAGCATCTTAAGCCAGTAACATCACCGAATGTGACATCAGGTTTCATGAAGCGCATTGGCATGTTTCCCTGCATTTCGCAAGAAACGTGTTGTACACTAAAGTGGTACGAGAGGGGTCAGCACTACTACAGTCTTCCCATGCGTAGCGTGCCATGGCAAGTGCCAGCAGCCCCCAAAGGGGGAGCACTTACTGAACACAGCCCCACCAAAGGCCCTTGTGAGTATTCAGGCCTGCACACAAGCGAAAGAGGTCTCCTCGACCTTTGGCCTGGTGTGGTCCAAGGCTCTGTTCATCGTGTTGAAGCTTATCATACATACAAGACTGTCTGAAACCTCTCCTGAGGCAATGGACACCACCGAAGGAGCTGTGAGTGCCCCTCAACTGCTCCCAAAAAAACGATGAGGGCCTGACTAAAGCTCTGTGAAATAAGTCACTTTTCTTTGTTATGACACGCAGCACACAGACAATCCGAACATGAATACCGTATGGCAATGGAACATTATAGGATACAATCTCAATGATACACGAGAATTTTTCTGTCTTAAGGTACTGTGTGTGGTCAGGGAACACACTTAAACGCTAAAGACACGAATTTCATCTGTCAATATGTTATCTTCCATAAGCACTGCGAGGATCTTCGTGCATCATCTGGTGGTGTTGCAGTAATGCTCGACAGAAACGTAGCATGCCAGCAATTTCCACTCTGAACGGCACTGGAGGTAGTTCAAGCCATAGTTGCAAATAAACTCATCACTATCTGCTCAGTATACATATCCCCATGCTACCAGCTACACAAAGAGGAATTTCAATTACCGTATTTACTCGATTCTACCGCACCCTCGATTGTAACGCGCACCCGGTTTCGACAACGAAAAAAAAAAGTAAGACATCGATTGCAACGCGCACCCATTTTTCTCGTTGGCCCGCACGATCACACCACTCGAAAAAACGACTCCTTTTGGGAGCGTCTTCCATTTAAATATGAGGTACGGGAGAAGCTTGTGCCCATCTGACGTGTAACAGAGCATTGCTATCACTGCAGTTTTACCGTGGACCGATGTCAGCACGCGAACTTGCTTCGCCCCCCTTCTTCTCAACGGTTGTGGTGCTAGGCATGTCCAAGTAAAGAGGTGTCTGATAAGCATTCCCAATTTGCCCAAGCAAATAGCCGTTGTTGTGCCGCAAGTTGAGGACGAACCTCTGAAAACTGTGAAGCTTTTCATCGTACTCCTCTCAAAACTTTTCGCAGATGCCCATTCGCCTTCGGAGGGAAAAGCTTTTGCTCTTCATAAAGTTAGTTAGCCAGCACCTGCTCGCTTTAAACTGGCTCCGCATTAGCCCTTTTTTCATTCCAAGGCTAACTGCATAGCCCGCACTTGGAGCAGTTCTGTCGTCACGGGCCACTGTGCCGCTCGCTGCTCAAGCACATACTCGCCGAGCAGCTCCTCAATTTGCGGAAACCGACCCTGCTGTGGTCCACTGAAGCCTTTGCGTGAAGCTTTGCTGTCAACAATCTTCTGCTTTTGTTTCTGCCATTCCCACACGCACGTTTCGTGAACTCCGAATGACCACGATGCGGCCCAGTTCCGTCTGTTTCTACACATGCGATGACTTTTCTTTTAAAAGCGGCATCGTGGTGCATTCGAGTTTTTGGAGTCGGTCCTTCCATGCCGTCGACGCTAATGCACTACAAGATGACGAACTTCTCACCACACGTACGAAGTGCCGCACATGGGAAACATATAGGCAGAAATGGCCGACGCACTTAGGGGGCGGCC